ATCAGTAAAACACCTGCAGAAATATCTACACGTGACCATAAACTGTGTTTGTGTCAAGTTGTCATGACACTAGAATTTCAAACTCTGCACAGACATACTTAATACCATTTTTTTTCATTACATTGAGAGGGGTAGCGCTGAAATAGGTTTGGTAGTGCTCTGCTTCTGATGCCTTTGCGCCACAATTAACCTTAAGAGGTTAATATGTTCTCATTTTCGAACATATTACTTTTTAAACACAGATAATTTAACATGAAAACACAGTTTATACTGCACTAACATTACAGAAGGGCAGGACTTTTACTGTCATGCATCAGTTTACTGAAGCACAAAATATACTTGTTTATCCAATGGCCAGAAATAACAGGAAAATACCATTTAAAAAACAGATTAGGCAACGCTGACTTACTGCCTTAATAAAATGAAGACCAAAGTCAACCCCCACAGGCCTGTTTTAAACCAGGAAAGACCCAATTTAATCCAATTGAGATGCTGTGGTATGATGAAATGAAAATGTTCTATTGGATGCAGGGTCAACAATTTTTCCTGGATGTTGTTTATGTCTCATAAGCAGCTGAGGGAAATGTCTGATGGAGTTTGTTTCTGCTAAAGGAGGTTCTATGAATTCCTAAACCCCTGCTCTGTGTGACAGCATGCTCAATAAATACATCAAAAGTATCTATTTGTACATTATTAGTTTAGTTGGATTATATGTGGCATTATTCACGATTTAGTTTAAGAATAAAAAAAGAAAAAACCCAGGTAATGAATTCATAAACTTTTTTCCTCCAACGGTACATCATGAGGGCTCGCTTCATTGTCCCCTTGTGTTTTTAAGCTTTTGCGTGCGTGTGTGAGGTCCAATAATCCCAACGGTGTATTTCAGCTCACACTGCATTATCATGGCTGTATGTGTATTGTACATGGTGATTAAAGGGATTTTGACTGACTGTGATTACAGCTCTGCCTGCTGAGAGCATGTAGGACTATCCAGCGGCTGAGCACCTGTACTTCAATACTATGTAGCTTTCTGAAATACTACATTGATGTTTCATAAGTAACAAGTGTCAGATTTTAAGCCAATCTAACATGTGAGCACTAACAGAAAGTTTAATTTAAATACTCTGTTTTTAAAGGCTGCTTAATTCTTCATGTTTCTGGGTTTCTCAGATTCTACCTGCCACTGCTCCAGCTTGCCCTGATGAGATTAGGT